CCACACGGGGGCAGGGACGGATTTGGCCCAGACGGTGCGTATGGCTGTGGGTAAGCTAGGGAGAGGTGGTTGTTTGCCTGGGCAGAGTTAGGCAGAGAGCCGGCTTGTTCTGCTTCCTGTGGCTCCTGCCCTACCTGTTTGCCCTCTTCTTCCCTCTCTGCCAAGGCCTCCAGGAGTCTGGAAAAACCCACGCTTCTCTATCTCCCACCCACATGAAGTGCACCCAGTATATCAGATCTGCAAGTACTTTTCATCTGAATGTCTTTGGGCGCACTGGGCACAGCCCTACATATTTGGCACCTGGCCTGCCCTTTATTTCCCTCCGTGAGGGAGCCATCTCCGTCTGTCACTTGTGTGCCTTACAGCAGGCTGATCCAGTGAAAGAAACCCACTCTTTTGACCGCGAGATGCTCTGCTCCCACTTACAGCAGAGGGATTCATTAAGCAGAGAGCAAAGACTGCTCTGTTTGCTATTCTGGGAACAGTCTGGTGGCAGTGATGATGCACAGCAATGTGAGGCAGTTCAAGCTGAAGCGCACTAGGGCAGCCTACAGCAGAGCCCAGCAGGCTTGAGGGATTTTTGCCACGACTTAAATAGCCATTTGGTTGTCTTTCTCTCCTCCTGCAGTGGTCGTTGCCAAAGTCTTTCTTCCTCCAGAAGAGCAGCGTTCAATCAAATGGCTTCAGCAAACTGGAACTGGGCAGGCTGGGGTGAGTTTGCACTGGCTGTGACGTGCATGATGTTCACAGCGTGACTTTAGGACTGGTGTCCTGAGAGAGAACTGCCAGCAGGGAAAGCACCTTTGTTTAAGGGGGGAGGAACAGGTTGGCTTGCAGGCTCTGAAGCCAGCCTCCGCTCTCTGGAGAGCCAAGTGGTGGGGCTGGCATGATTGTCTACATGACTGGACATGTCTCCTTGGCACTGTACGCCCAGCTCAGATAGGAGTGAGGCCCAGAACAGCCGGACTGTGTGATATTTGGGGTTGTCATGGTCAGGACATGCTGACAAGATGTTCCCCACAGGGATCCACGCCACTTCTGTGGGCTCTGATGTGGCCAGCAGTGAGCAGAGGCTCTCAGCCGCAGCGTGGGGCTGTGGGAGCAGCGAGGCCTCCAGGTCTGCTGCACTCTGCCAGCTTCCCCAGGCAAAGCTGTGCTGCAAAATGGGTGCTGCTGGCCCCGACAGCCTCCTGCAGAGAGGTGGCGGACTGGAGTTCACCTGGGTGAGCCAAAGTGGAGGGCAAGCACTTTCCTGGTCTCTGGCGTTAAGGAAAAGGGCATCCCTGCTCCTGTGCCCAGGCCAGGATGGAGTTGGGTTTGCGTGCAGCCAGGAAGATCAAGCTGTGACCCTAAAGTCCCATCACTGTCTTGGATGTCTGTTTGGGGTGACTGGTGCTGCCCAGGGTGAGGGATGGAGTAGGTGAGCCCTTCAGCCTCATCTCTCAGCCTGTGTGTGATGATACCGCAGGTGAATGTTGCACCATGGCCCTTTTGATCCTTTCCCACTGTCCCTAAGCAGCACGGGGTCTCCTTTCTCCTGCAGCACACTCCTCCCTTCAGCCGGTGAAGACCTCACGAGATACCTGGAGCCCAGCCCTACTCAGAGCTTACCTCTCAACAAGTGCACTGGTGGAGCCGACCAGAAACCTGCTGGCTGCCTCTCGGACACCACCCCGGTGATGTGACCAGGCAGCTGCCGTCCCTCCCCGGGGACACCTCAACCTACCTCAAAGGAAGAGACAGGAGCTGGCTCTGGAGAGCAAGGACTGTGGGAGCCCGCTGCGCTGCACACTTGCCTGTGGGGCTGTTTTTAGAGAGGGATGTTTTGCTGGGCAAAGGGGAGAGCTGTGTGACTTCCGTTTTTAAAACAAATGGCAAAGCCTGGGGAAGTTGAGTTTGTCTGGCCTTTGTCCTAGGCTGCTCTTAAAGCCTGATGTGGTGGTGGTGGTTTCTTTGCTGTGTGGGAGCTGGCTGAGCTTGGGGTTAGCCTGGCCTTCCTGTCCCCGACCAGCACGGGCCGAGCCGTTGCTCGCCTGTGTCTCCGTGTGCTTGTCCTGAGCCGCGGGGAGCCGAGTCTGCTCCTGCAGCCTGTCCCATGGAGAAAAGTCCCCAGCCACCACCCTGCTCCTCTGGAAGGAGCAGGGCTTGGGACTTTTAACCGTCCCCTTTCATCCTTTCTGAACACTTGTGCCAACATCCTGCCCTCCCCCAGCCTCGGGGCCTGTGGGAAACCTTGGGCTTGCACATCGCTGCTCGAGAGAGACCATGGATACCAGCGTGGCTCTGGTTTGTCGTGGGGACAGTAGGGCTGCCAGGGAGGGAGCATCCTCTCGAGGCTGTTGGCTCTCGTGGGTGACCTGCAGTGTGTGTGGGGGGACTGCAGGCTTGTGCTCTTCTCCTGGGCTCTGCTATTTTCCCTTCATTTCTCAAGGATTTCTATTAAAGTTTAACACTCAGCTGCTCTCCTGGCCTGCATCTGCCTCCGTTGCCCTGGCCCGTTTGGGTCCATGGGGCAGCTCAGCTCTCCCTGCACTCTGCCAGGCTCCGGTGCAGGCAGGGTTTCTACCACCACCCCACCGTTCCTCTGTCCTTCCCGGAGCTGGGGGTTGTTCCTGCTGCCCCATGGCAGGTAAGCCTGCCCCCCTGCATGGGGGAGTGCCTTCCAGCATAGCTGCTGGGGTCTGGGGTCTGCCTGATGTCCTGGGGTCTCTCCCACAGATGGTTAACCAAAGGGGGACAGAGCAGCCCAGCCCTGCAGCAGGGGAAGGAAGGGTTGGGTCCCCTGAGCTGTCCCTTGCCCGTTTTGGCTTATGTCCTCTGAGCCTGGCAGGGGGATGCTGGGCACCTGGGCGAGTTGCTTGTGGTGAGCCCTGGGCACTGGGGCTTGCAGAAAGCCCTTCCCTCCCCTCTCCCTGCAGCCCCCCGCTGCCCGGAGCTGGGCCCTGTTTCTCCGGTCTCCTTGGTGACAATCTCTTTGCTCCTCGGCTTCTCTCCAGCACCTGAAAATAGCCGCCGAAAGTGGAGATGCCTGCTCCCTTCTCTGCTGCCAGCACCCGGCGGTGGCCAGGCTGGAGACAGGCTGCCCGGCTC